CCCCCCCCCCCGCGCCTTCCACACACACCCGCCCAGGGATTCGCACCTGTACGGGCACCAAGCTACCTGGCTCCCTGGTTCCTGCGGGTCAGCCGGGCACGGCAGCACGTGTCCTCGGGACTGCGCTCCCCTTCCTCTGCCGGCTCGCAGGGGCCGGGAGGGCTGCCGGGCGCAGTGGAAGGAGCCCCCGCCCCGCGCACAAGTTTCCATCTCGCCGCGTGTGGGCCCCGCAGCAGGGCGCACCTGTCAGCTGCAGAGACGCTGCAAACCAGGCAGCCCCTCAAAGTTTCGGGGGTGGATAGGGAGGCGTGCGTCCTTGGCTGGGGGTTTTCTCCTTCCGTCGTCCGGGGGTAGGGGGAGCGGTCTTGGGGAGCGCCCCCAACCTCGTGCCCTTGGAGCGGAGTGCGCCTTAGTCTGCCTGGGCCGGGCTCCCTTGGACGAGCGAAGGGTTTGGGGAGGAGAGACGGCCTAGGCTGTAGGATCATCCCCCGCCGGCTTAGGGTGACACAGCCCCGTTTCGGCAGGGGCACCTCAAGCAGAGCCCGCACCAGTGACTGACTGCATGTGGGGTATCCAGCTGCGGGACCTTTTGGGGTCCTCTGTGTGTGTGTGTCGGGTGTGTGTGTGTACCGGCGTAGTGTCTCTAATTCCTACAAGGGAGGGGTCCCGCCCGGGGAAGGCGACACCAGGAATGCCGTCTTTGTCTGCATGCATACTTTGCCAAGGTAGCTGGGCCCCTGAAGATGAGCGGGGCCTGGTCCGACTGCGATTCCTTTGGTTTTCCTTTCCTTCACGGCTGGGTCGTGGGAAACCGGCACGTGGGTGTGGCTGGCGCCGGCTTCGCCAAGACGCGAGGCGCAAGCAGAGGGAGAATCGTGGTCAGTGCCTTTCCGGCCGCTTTGACCTGGTGGGCACCGCCTCCGGCACTGCACCGAGGCGGGGCGCCAGCGCTCGGCAGGTTGCTGGGCTGGCCTCATGGGCCCCCCATGCCCCTTTCCAGAGCGCAGGCGGGCAGTGGGGCCCGCAGCGCCCCCTCGGCATGTAAGCTCGTGAGGGGCACTGGAGTGCTCCTGGGCGTGGATGCAGGCCTGGGGTCCCCTGGGCCGCAGACGTGTGCAAGGAGGGGGGCAACTAGGGCTGGCTGGGAGTCCTGCAGAGGAAGCACGCGGCAGGCTCCCCGGGATGGTGGGGCAGAGCGCCCGGAGGCCGCGCTTCCCGGAGAGGCGAGGCTGCCAACAGCTCTTTCCGGACCGAAGCTGCTGAAAGGCTGCTGGTGCTTGACTCTAAGGCTGATTTAGGCAATGACTGCGTGTTCCTCATGCCTCCTATGTAAAAGGTGTCCCCTGGCTGGAAGGATTGTTTGGGGCTGGGGCGGGGCCTCACTTTCAGTAAGACCTAGAATTGGAGCAAGTCTGGAAGTGAGATGCCATTGTCTGTAGACCTGGAGTGCCAGGTGACAAGGAGAGGAGATGGGGTGAAGGCCTGGGTCAGAATACCCAGTGGGGAGCAGTCCTTGTCAGCCTCTTTCTCTCTTCTCCCCCCATTCCCTGCCTGGGCTCTGGAGGAAAGCACAGCCTTGCTGTCTGGGTAGCCCTTAAGGGCTGGAGTGTTTTGGTTTTCAGGGAAATGATTTACCTGAGACACATGAAGTAAGAAGCCATAGAACCCCATTGTACTGATGGGGGGACCAAGTCTCAAGAGACTTAGTCAAGGTCAGGCAGCCAGGAGGTAGTAGAGCTTGTCTCAAGCCCAAGTCTGCCAAGTCCTGGGCTCTTCTCATGAAAACACAGCTGTTTCAAACAGGGCAGATGCTAGGAGTCCCGATTTAGTTGCAAATGGAAACCAGGCGTTTCCGGGAGTGGCCTGCCAGGGGGATGAGCATGGAGATTCCACCCGGCACTAGGACCAAGCGGCTGGGGCTCCGCAGGCAGCCACCTTGGAGGCTGCTGCAGTGGCGGCTGCAGTTCCCGATTGCGCTCCTCAGCGCTGGGCTTCTAGGAGGGCTGTCCACGCCCCAGCTCTCATATCTTCTTTCCCTCGTCTGCTTTTCCCCGTGGCTTTCCCTTTCTTTCCTTTCAAGTACATGTAAAAAAGGTGAGAAAGCAGAGAACACAGGGAAAGTTTCTCTTACTGATTTTGCTTTGAGAACGGGAAGCGGTTTGCTTCTTTTTACCCCTGGCGCCTCTTTGTTTCCCGCTCTTTCTTTTCCTCCTCCACTTTCTTCATGGACCCTACCGGTGGCTGTGCTTTACTGGAGGACATTCTGCTCCCAGAGTGCAGTCCCCTAGTGGGTGCAGGGCAGGGGGAAGCTCCTAGGCTACTGGCTGCCTCCCTGCCCCTCCTCCTCGCCCACTCCCCACCCGCTGCAGCCTGGCTCTCCTGTGCTCAGAGCTGCCTCAGGCTCACCGCATGGAAGCTTACCTATTGAGGGGTTTGGGTCAGGCAGATCCCTGGTCTGCCATCTCTCAGCCAGGCGTCACATAACTGTCTCTGTGCTTTAGCTTGTCTGCCAATAATAAATGCTACTCTGAGTGCTTTACATATGTCACCCATTTAACCCTCAAAGATGTTATGAGGTTAGTACTACAATCCACATTTTACAGATGAAGTCACTCAGGAGTCACATACATAGTAAGTGGCAGAGCTGGGATTTGAATCCCAGTAGTCTGGCTTCTAAGCCTATAGTCTTAATCATGCTCAATAAGTGGTAACGGTTTTTATTAGTGGGTCATTTTCCCTGTTCTGGGCCAAACTCAGAGAATGCCTGCACTCCCACTGTCTGGAAATGCTGCCTCCTGCCTGACCCCATGTCTCCCATCTTCTCCCACCAGATGCCGGTGCAGCTGACGACAGCACTGCGTGTGGTGGGCACCAGCCTGTTTGCCCTGGCAGTGCTGGGTGGCATCCTGGCAGCCTACGTGACAGGCTACCAGTTCATCCACACAGAGAAGCACTACCTGTCCTTTGGCCTGTACGGCGCCATCCTGGGCCTGCACCTGCTCATCCAGAGCCTGTTTGCCTTCCTGGAGCACCGGCGCATGCGGCGGGATGGCCGGCCACTGAAGCTGGCCTCCCCACGACAGCGCTCAGTGGCACTCTGCATCGCTGCCTACCAGGAAGACCCCGACTACTTGCGCAAGTGCCTGCGCTCGGCCCAGCGCATTGCCTTCCCCGACCTCAAGGTGGTCATGGTGGTAGATGGCAATCGCCAGGAGGACGCCTACATGCTGGACATCTTTCATGAGGTGCTGGGCAGCACTGAGCAAGCTGGCTTCTTTGTGTGGCGCAGCAACTTCCATGAGGCGGGTGAAGGCGAGACAGAAGCCAGCCTGCAGGAGGGCATGGACCGGGTGCGGAACTTGGTGCGGGCCAGCACCTTCTCCTGCATCATGCAGAAGTGGGGAGGCAAGCGCGAGGTCATGTACACGGCCTTCAAGGCCCTTGGTGATTCAGTGGACTACATCCAGGTAAGGGAGCCTCCCTAGTGTGTGTACACAGGAACGTGTCTGGACAGTTAGGCATACTTTCCTCCAGGGATTTTAGGTCCCGTGTAGGTCCACTGTGCTGTGTGTGCCCCTCCTCTGCCCTTAAGAAGGCAACAAGGCATGGCTCAAACAGCAGTCCTGGGGACAAACAGACGTGGGTTGGAATCCTGGTTTTGCTGATACGTAGCTCTGATTCTAAGCAGACCTCTGAACTGTTGCCCCAATAGTAACAGCAAAAGGCTGTATAGCATTCACTTCATACCTGGCACTGTTGTAGGCAAGTACATATTAGCTCTTTTACTTCTCATAATACTCCTAGGGGATAAGCACTGTTATGAAGTCTACTCACAGAAGGTGAGACCAAAGCACAGGTTAAGTGACTTGCCTAATGTCACACTGCTAGTAATGTGCAGAGCCAGGATTCCAGCCCAGCTGTCTCAAATCTGCTCTTATCCATTGTTCAACACTGCCTCACCACTGGCAACATGGGGACAAACCTCTTCATAAAGAAGTGAGGTGAAGAGCAAAAGAAATGCTCAACACTCAAAATGCTGTTTTAGCTATGGGCCAAGACATTCCTCTTTCTAGTGTCAAATTCATGTCTGTGAGGTGGGAGCTAGAGGGACACAGGTGCAAATGATCTACCAGCTTCACTGCAGCAGTACTGGCAGGGCTGGGACCCTGAGTAGACCCTGCTGCCTAGCTTCTGGCCAAAGTGGTCACTGACAACAGCAGCCTTGGGATTTTATAAGGTTGACATAACTTTAATTTTTAAATAACAAAACCTAGGGAGAACTGAGAAGATTAAACCTCATACATTTCAGTACCAAGCAAAACCTGAAACCCAGGACTCCAGATTTCTGGTCTGGAATTTTTTGCAGCACCCACACTGCCTCTGTTCCTCTGTCTCTGCCCTTCTGTGCATCTGCCAGAGGGTTCTGCCCATCAATTAATAAACACTTGAAAAAATAGTAGCTGTTTTGGTAGCCCACCTGTGTACCAACTCAGTCTTGCTGACAGCATGTTGAGTCCCCTAATACTATTTAAGTTTTCTAGTGTGTCCACCTTGCAAAGATTTTTTTGTTGCTTTTTTGAAAGTTGTGTGCTTGCGTGAGAGTTGATACTTTGACCTTTTTCTGTCTTCTAGGCCTGAGGACCTCCTCAGGCATGTAGGGTAGGATGTCAGGCTAGAAGGCTGTTTGATTCTGCAGTTCACCTGGGGTTGTGGGGCCTTTGTGAAACTTACCTGGGGACCCAAAAGCTTAGGAAAAAGCCCTTGAGCCTTGGCATATGCTCAAGCCACATTTGTCATCCACTCCCTTGAAGCACAGGATCCCCCAAAACCTGCCCTGCCACACGTCTCTCTTTCCTGGTCATCTTTGTGTTCTGGTGGATCAGCCAGCAGGCTCACACACCTGAAACACGCCTTTCTTTTTATGGCCCTGGGATCAATGCCTAAGGCAGCCCTGGGCTATAGCCAGTGAACATTTGCTGTGCGTGTCTTCCAACAGCCCTGATGAGGGTGTGTCTTTCCCTTGGTGGGACAGAACCTTGCTCCAGCCAGTGAGGAAACCCAGGCAGCACAAGAGCTCTTCTTTCCTAACCCTGCTCAGCTAGAAAGACCCCTTGGCCCCCCTGGAGTGAAGGAAGCAGAACAGCATGAAGACTGGGTTGGGGTCAGGACAGGAGGTAGCAGTGAGACCAGCAGCACTGGAAGCTTGGCCTGTAAGCTGAGGAGGCTCTTCGAGTCTGGTGTGAGGCCTGCTGGGGCCCTCCTAGGCATGGACCAGGATGTAAGGATGTGTCTGGTGGGGAAGCTGGAAGCAGCATGTGAGGGACCCAGGCTGGTGCTGATGGGCTGTGTCAAGGGAGCACAGAAGGTTTGGCAGCCGTATTAGTGGTCTCATGGAGGGGCCTGTGAGCAGGTAGCTAGACCCTTATCACTGGGGCTGTGGGTTGTCCAAGAGGCTAGAGGCTGAAACAAGACCCTTTTAACCACTCTGAGACAGCTTCGGGCAGTAGCCTCTGACAGGAGCCATTTCTTGGCTTTCTGAGGAATGTGTTTGCCCAGGTGTAATCCACTGTGCCTGTCATCTGATTTCAGTGACTTGTTCCCCTTTCTGTTGAAGGACCCCAGAAAAATATTCTGAGACCATTTTTGTGGAGCCTGGCTCTGTAGGGGCTAAAAACTTGTCCAGTGCCAAGCACTTTTTTCATTTCCACACCAGCACCTACAGTCTTCTGAGTTTCTCTCTCAGCCTAATGACTGACTGTACTCTCCTTTTCTTTGCCTTTGTTTTTCCTTTTGCCCCTTCTATTTGGCAAAAATCTCTGCTATTTGGCAAAAATCTCATTCGAGAGGGAGTTATGTCCCCTACAGTAAGCAGCCTGGTGGGGTGTGTATACATGTGTGTGTGAGTGCGCGCCTGTGCGCAGGCCTGAGAGGTCAAAACGGGCTGACAGTGCACTCCCTCTGCAGGTGTGTGACTCTGACACAGTACTGGACCCTGCCTGCACCATCGAGATGCTTCGAGTCCTGGAGGAGGATCCCCAAGTAGGGGGAGTCGGGGGAGATGTTCAAGTAAGAAGTAACCAGGGATTCCTGGGGGTAGGGTTTGTACACTTGTTTCCCAGTGGGTATCTTGACTTCCTAGTATTTGGGGGTAGGTCCCCTTTGACAGTTTTCACTGGTATCAAAGGGCTCACCTCACTTGCTACCCAACCCCTTTTCCGTTCTTTTTCAACATGAGGAGGGAGAGATCAATAGGTATGGAGCTTATATTGCAGGGAGGGGTATAGTATGTTGAGGCCATAGATCCGGGAGAGTACTTCTTTTCTGGTTGGTGGTGTAGCAAGTAGCTCCAAAGTTAGACTCTCAAGAAGCCCTTACTCTTAGGAGAGTTGGGCTGAAGAGCTCTGTGCACTGTGGTAAGAAAAAGAGATCGATCTTCTTCCAGAACATACTGCAGGCAACATACCATGTCTTCCTTAGAAGCTTTCCCACTACAGAAGGATCAGGACAGGTGGCTGAGGTGGTGGTTTGCATCATTCTCATGCCCTTCTCTCTGCCCCCACCACTGGCTGCCTCCTGAGATTGAAGGTGGCTTCGATCACTATAACAACTTAGCTGGGAAAATCAGGGCAGATGACAGACACGCTGGGGAGGTGAAGCTGGTGCTGGGGACAGTGAGTGGCTGCGGTTGGTTCCTCTGAGCCTCAGGTTTCCCAGCTCTGTCAGGGGTGGAACTGATGGTCAGGAATTTGAGCAATCGGCCACAGAACCCAGGGTAAGGAGGCCTCATGGTCTCCATCTCCTCTGGGGCTCATGTCCTCAGGTGAGGAGGCCCAGCATAGCATCTCTGTTCCCTTGCAGATCCTCAACAAGTATGATTCGTGGATCTCCTTCCTGAGCAGTGTGAGGTACTGGATGGCCTTCAATGTGGAGCGGGCCTGCCAGTCCTACTTTGGCTGTGTGCAGTGTATTAGTGGGCCCTTGGGCATGTACCGTAACAGCCTCCTCCAGCAATTCCTGGAGGACTGGTACCATCAGAAGTTCCTAGGCAGCAAGTGCAGCTTTGGGGATGACCGGCACCTCACCAACCGAGTCCTGAGCCTTGGCTACCGGACTAAGTATACAGCACGCTCCAAGTGCCTCACAGAGACTCCTACTAAGTACCTCCGGTGGCTCAACCAGCAGACCCGCTGGAGCAAGTCTTACTTCCGAGAGTGGCTCTACAACTCTCTGTGGTTCCATAAGCACCACCTCTGGATGACCTACGAATCCGTGGTCACAGGTTTCTTTCCCTTCTTCCTCATCGCCACAGTCATACAGCTTTTCTATCGTGGCCGCATCTGGAACATTCTCCTCTTCCTACTGACGGTGCAGCTGGTGGGCATTATCAAGGCTACCTATGCCTGTTTTCTTCGGGGCAATGCAGAAATGATCTTCATGTCCCTCTACTCCCTTCTCTATATGTCCAGCCTCCTGCCAGCCAAGATCTTTGCCATTGCTACCATCAACAAGTCTGGCTGGGGCACCTCTGGCCGAAAAACCATTGTGGTGAACTTCATTGGTCTTATCCCTGTGTCCATCTGGGTGGCAGTTCTTCTTGGGGGGCTGGCCTATACAGCTTATTGCCAGGACCTGTTCAGTGAGACGGAGCTAGCCTTCCTTGTTTCTGGGGCCATCCTATATGGCTGCTACTGGGTGGCCCTCCTCATGCTGTATCTGGCCATCATCGCCAGGCGATGTGGGAAGAAGCCAGAGCAGTACAGCTTGGCTTTTGCTGAAGTGTGACACAGCCACCAAGCACAGCGGGAGAAGTGCAATGGGTAAGGGAGGGAAGGGAATGGAAGAGAAAAGATGGGGTGGGAGGGAGGAGGGAGTACTGTGTTTTAGTTTCTTAATGGTCCAATGGACCAATCTGAAATGCAAAGAATGGTGACTATAGTATGGCTTGGGCAGCTCTTCTTAGAGGAGGCAACACTGATTGCCCAGGCTCAGGGCAGAGGGGGCTCGTATGTTTTCAGTCTACCTGTCTGCTTGCTTCTGCACACAGGTGGTAGTCTCTAGGAAAGATTCTACTTCCCTGGGATCCAGAAGGACCTCTGAAGTGTGCTAAACCAAACAAGTTCCTTTCAGTGGCAACTTCTGATAGGTATATGAGCAATGATAGCCAGTGGGAAAGGGTTCTAGCCCATCCGAATACAGCCAGTGGTGGTGGGAGAGTTTGTACGGCAAGATCTGGGTCAGCTGGTGTTCCCCCCTTCCCCAACTAGTCATCAATGCAATAAGATTACGCCTGAGATACAAGGCTCAGAAGCCTGATCTTTGGGCATCAGGAAACAGGGTCCAGGAATGGTGCTTTATGTAACGTATCCCACTCCACATCTCAATATCTCAGAGATGAGCCAAACCAACAGGGAGTTAGCACTGAACTGCTTTTAAAACTGTGTACTAAAAAGGAAAGTATTCCAGGAGGAACAAAGAGATCATGGTGGTTCTCAAGACCATGGGCTATATGGAGGTCTTGGGCTGAATGTGTTCCATCTGGAAATTGCTCAGACTTCTAGCTGGAGTCTTAGCTTGTCTGTGATCTCTGCTGGAGGGAGAAAATGTTTTAGCCATCTACCAGGGAAGATTAAACCCCAACATGTTCAGAAAGGAAGTGAAGTCTTGGTGATTTCTGTATACTCCTTGATTCTTCTCAAATTCAGCTCTGAGGCTAAGACAGCATCCTCACGTCACTTTCTTCAAAGGCACATTTTTTCAGGGTATAACTGCAGTCACCTCTTCCACCCTCATCATCATGGGTAAGTTTTCCAAGGTGGCAGTTGGGACAGAGCCTGGTCTCTTATAAGACCCTCTGCAGTAGGCAAGCCTGCTCTCAGCACATAAGGAAAACTATGAGGAGCCTCTGATCAAATTGGCTACAATCTTAGAACTGCTTGGACAGATTCCTTGGCAGCTGTTTAGCGTGCATGACTTGGAGGCTACTGTTTTTGACAATCATCTCCAATGGATAGCTTTTCAGTGTTCCCAAAGTGAACTCTCAAATCCAAGCTGGTCGTCTTTGAGACTGTCCGTTATCCTCAGTGGCTTCTCCAGGGAACTGTTACACAGCCAGGTTGTGGATAGTCACTACTGTATTTGCTTGCTTCTTTCCAGAAACCAAACTAGGAGATGAAATTGGTTCCTATATCCTGAGGTTCCTGCTTTTTCTCTTCCGCCTCTTGAGGCTGTTTGATTTCCCTCTGCTGCTTTGGGGAGTGAGGGGAAGCCATTGTCTAATGATCTGCAATCCACGGACTGTTCTCAGCTTTTGGGTTTGAAACCTGGGATTTCAACTAAGCCTTTGGCTTAAGGGCTGCTTACTTGCTGTCTCCAACCATCCATTCTCAGAGGGGCCAGCTAACTCCCAGAACCAGCACTATGGTGGACAGCATTAAAGGGAGCAAGCCTCTAGTGTACCCAGGTGCTTCCTACAAAGGAACAAAGTGTGCTCTGAGCCACAGGTGGGCAAACCCTGGTGATTTCCTTCATCTCCCACGAACTTGAGGGTTTTCCAGGTGTAGGCAACAGCTGCCACATCACACAGACCTCAAGTTTCTGATAAGACTGCTGGTTGATATCAGGCCCAAGCCATGAAGGTTGGGAAGCAGCAGCCATTTGCTAAAGGCGGTTGTTCCAGGCTCTTCCGTGTTTCTGCTGGCCAAGAAGTAAACTATTTTGAGCACTACAATGGAGGAAATCCGGTCAGCCAACTGCAGAGCTCAGACTTCACTAAGGGCTTGTTTTTTCTTCAGCTTTTACTTGAAGGTTAATGTAGGATGATGGAGTCTGGATGGAGAACTGGCTGGCCTACCATCAGCTCTGCTTTGCATTGTGTTCATTAACTCTCTTCAGATCAAAAGCAGACAGGTACAGCTAGTGGGCTCACAACATTTGACCTCGACTGGTTTTTCTAAGTTATTTTGTATATTTTTCAGCAGCAAAACCAAACTGGGTCTTCAGCTTTATCCCCGTTTCTTGCAAGGGAAGAGCCTTTATACAATTGGACACATTTTGGTTTTCCCTCATTGAGTTTTTAACTCTTTTGTATTGTTTCTACAATAATTTGTAAACATATTTATTTTTACCTGTTTTTTTTTTTTTTACTTTTCAGGTCAAATTTTTTATACTGCACTTATTTGTCAAAATAAAGATTCTCACATAATGCTGATATCTCTGAGCTACTTCCTCTTTGTACTTAATGAAAGCTAGCTCTTTATTCCAGTTTCAAAGAAGGCTTCAAGGCAGAAATAGTTTTGTCAATGAACTCAAAAGTAAGATAAGTTGTCACAGCTGCCTCTGGACCTGGGGAATGCCGTAGGCCCACTCTGATAACTGTTTGCCCATGGTGGCTTAACTTTTATTGTAGAGGTGGGGCAGGGTCTTTGGTAAAATAAGTGGCGGATGAGTGAGCCCTTGCTAAGGCTAAAAACCAAAGCTTCCTTCCTCCTTGAGTAAAAAGCATTGTAGCATTCTGGTCAAGCCAAACCAAAAGCAGAGTGTAAACTTTCTTTCCTGTGGAACAGGTAACAAAATGGAATGATATCAGCAGCCCTCTCATCCCATTTATTAAAGAAACAGTAAGAAAAGATACAATGCAGGAAAAACACCAACCATCCTTTCATGTCAGGCTGAACGAAGCACAGTGATTTCTTCCCTTCATCCCCACCCACCCCCACCCTAATTCCCATATTCCCATCCACATCAGTTTAAAATTTGAGGTTCTTTGATTGGGAGTACCAGTGGAGAGGGAGCTGGATGAGCAGAGGTGCCTTAAATCTGGCTGTCCCTAAGTCCCAGGAGAAGGGAGCCACAGGCCCAGTCAGTCAAGCAGAAACTGTATTTGGTGGGTCTTTGAAGTGGTTGTCCACCTCCTTGTTGTGTTCAAGCTCCCAGGGGAAAGGGATGGCAGTAGAGGATGACCAGGTCCAAGCTGCCCAGGTCATAGCTACTGAAGCATGGTCCATTCACCAATACAACATCTCCAGAGAGCAGTGAGCTGATTTCTTCAGTGGTGAGCAGGGGACTACATGTGAATTGGGACCTGCAGGCCAATGTATCCCTGAGGAAAAGTCCACAAGAACAATTCAAGAAACTAATAAGAAACAAGGGGCAGAAAGCTGTGGGACCAAAGCACAGCAGACTTCCAGAAGGCTGGAGATCCTTTCTCTCAAGGCCAAGATCATTCCTACATGCTATTGTCCATGATCCACAAATAACATTTACCTTCAATCGGGGAAAAAATGGCTCATTTGAACTTGAGCCCAGCTATGTTCTTCAGACTGTAGCTCCATTTCTACTCTTTTACTTGAGACAGCCCCTGCTGAGAACCACAGTGCCTGGAAACCAAGGTGGTCCTGAAGGGAAAACAGTGTTTAAGGGGGTAACATTCCATTTGGGTACATTGCAGCCATTGGACCTGCTGGTCTGGGGAAAGCAGCTTGGTTTGTGCCGGAGAGGCTCCCCACTCTAGGAAATGGGACCACACTCTTGCCTGCAGGGCCATTCATCCTTGGAAAGGATGCTGGGTTTAGGCCCAGGGCCCCAGCTGGCCTTACAAAAGGAGCTGGGTTGATACTCATAGGGCCTGCTGGGGAAGAGCTGAGGTGCCCAGCAGCTGACCTGGGGAAAGCAACTTGACCAGGGCCTAATGAGCCAGTAGACCTTGGGAAGGTAGCTGGACTTGGACCCTGCAGACCAGTGGCCCTTGGGAAGTTAGCTGGGTTGGGGCCTAGTGGCCCAGAGGCTCTTGGGAAAATTGCTGGACTTGAGCCCTGGAGGCCAGCAGACCTTTGGAAGGTAGCTGGGTTTGAAGCCAATGTGCCAGAAGACTGAGAGAAGGCAGCTGGGTTCAGTCCCCCTGAACCTGTCCCCCTTGGAAAGGGATTGGCATTTACCCCCATGGGGCCACCTGGCCTTGAGAAATGAGCTGAATTAGGCCCTAAGGGGCCAGGAGCCCTTGGCATGGGAGATGGATTTGGCCCTGGAAGGCCCATTGCCCGAGAGCCAGGACCTGAGTTTGGGCCTATGGGGCCAGGTACTCTTGCCATGGAGGATGGGTTTGTGCCCATGTTTCCAGAAGCCTGTGAGAAGGAAGCCGAATTTGCTCCTAAAAGACCTGCCGCTCTTAAAATGGGGGCAAGATCTAGGCCTTGAGGTCCAGTCATTCTTAAATTAAGACCAGATCCTGTGCCCAAGAGGCCACTCGCTCTAGTATCCAGATTAGGGCCTGGGCCCAAACCACATGCCCTTGGGTTGGGCCCAAGGCCTGGGCCAAGGCCACTTACCCTTGGGTTGGGCCCAAGGCCTGGGCCTGGAAACACACCTGACCTGGGGGCAGGGTTTGTACCTAAAAAGCCTGATCTCAGATTGGGATTTAGTCCCGGGCCCAGGCCACCTGGCCTAGGATTGGGAGGACCATTCCCGGAAGTCAACAGGACACCCGCTCTCAGGTTGGGTCCAGATCCAGGGCCCATGGGGCCACCACTTCTAGGGTCAGGACCAGCTCCCAGAAGACCACCTGCTCTTGGGTTGGACATAGGACCTGGTCCTGGGAGACCCCCTAACCTGGGGTTAGACAGAGGCCCCGGGCCTGGAAGAGCTCCTGTTCTAGGGTTTAGAACTGGACTTGGGCCTGGACCCAAAAGGCCACCTGGCCTTGGGAAAGAAACTGCGCCTGTGCCAGTGGGATTCATCCCTCTTGGAAAAGAAGTCATGCCTGGGTCACGAGCACCAACAGGGAAAGGTGCTGGGTTTGAAGCCAATGAACCTGATGAAGTTGGAAAAGAAGATGGGTTCCTTGGAAATGGGGCCAAATTTCCACCAAGAGAACCGGCTGCCATAAGGTAGGGATCTGAGTTCACGCCCAATGGGTGGCCTGTGTTCAGAACAGGACCCCCCTGTGGTCCCAAGGAACTGTCGAACCGTCCTCGAGGTGGCAGCGGAGCACGAGTCCAAGGTGTTGGCCGCTCTCTAGGGAAAATCCGGGGTTCTTTCATACTTTCTTGGGGACGTTGGTGATAATGGGCTTGGGGCGGGTTTTGAAAAGGATCTTGTTTTTGATGAGTGCTGTTACCAGGTACCGGGTGCCGGTCTCACGGCCAAGCTCATCACAGTCCTGCTCCCCAGAAGAGTGTTTGACAAGGACTGCAAAAGGTTTCTCCAGGTGGATGATTTTCCCATACAGGATATGATGCCCCACGATCAGCACAGGGATTCCCTTTGGCAGAACAAGAATGAGATGCCTGAGGTTCAGGACAAGGCCATAATACTCAGGTGCCTTCCAAAGCTGCTCTTGGCAGGCAAGCTGGCACTTCCACTCCCTGGTGTGGCTCTACTACTGTGGAGCAGGCACACTGGACAACCCACCTTTGCACCCTTTTTCTAGCCCCATACAAGAAAATTTCCACTTTCAGATGGGACCTTTCCAGTTCCCCCAAAGCTAAATTTCCTTGCTGCTGCAGAGATGGAGGGGGGAGAACAAGCAGAGAGTTTTGCAGATTAGCTAGACCTTGAATAACAAACCTGAGGGCAGTCCTCACTCTGGGTCCTGGGAGCACCACCTTGGTGTAGCTTGCTTTCCTGAGGCATTAGGCAGGAAAAGAAAAGCCCCTCACCTCAGTGGTGTAATGTAGGTCTCCCAGGAGGTTTCCAGCTAATCCGGTGCTGTAGCGAGCCTCGATCTCCCCCTGTAGCTCCATCAGCACCCATTCTGCCAGGCCTCCAGCCCCCGCACTGCAAGCAAAGGGCTGGCGGTTACAATATTTTTGAGGGGTGAAGGATGAGTAATGTCCTACACCACCATTCAAGGCCCAAAGGAACTCTTTGTTGAGCACAAATTCTTGGGAAATTGGCTGGTTCTAGGCATTGAACTAGAGATCAAAATACAAGAACTTGTACAAGATGCACCTAAGGACCCTGATTTTTCCAGGAAAATGTCAAACCTGTATAGCCGTAATCATTCAAACTAAATAAAAACATCTCAAAATGTACTCACCTAGAGATAACAATTTGCACCATGAGCTTTCTGTCTTTAAAAAGCAACTGACAATAAGCTGTAGAGAAAAAAGAAAAAATAAAAGATTTAGGATAATAATAACAACAACTATTATTTATCACTTACTGTATGCTAGGTACCTTCCTAAATGCTTTAGAAACATTTCCTTTTTTGGGGGTGGCTGGCGTGTATAGGGATCCAAACCCATAACCTTGGTGTTACACGGCTGCACTCTAACCAACTGAGCTAGTCAGCCAGCCCTAGATATTTTCTTTTACTCCCCTAACACCATAAAATGTGTTTTCTTTTACTGATAATGTATGTATGTGATAAGCTGCTTAAGATCACCAACAGTCAACTACTGTATAGAAAAGTACTAAGTATCACAGTTGTATTCAAGGTCACAGAACTACTAAGTCAAAGAGACAGAATTTGAGCCCAAGTTGTATGCGGCAGAGACCACACTCTTGCCCATGATGCTAACTTGCCTTTCTCAAGAATACCCTATTTTCTATTCTGTATATTTCTAAAAAACTAAGGAATTCTTCTAGATTTTACTTTTTGTTTGATTATCTTCAAGTCTACCACTTTGATTATCTTACATTTTTAGGTTCCTAAGTCCTCACTTTAACTAAATACAAAGCCAAGAGAAATGAAAAAGTCCTTCAGACAACTTTAGTGAATGGTAAGCTGACTTCTGATGTGGCTCTCATTTAGATATGAAAATATCCTGACACTTAGATAAGACTTTCATTTTATACAACAGCACCACCTGGTGGCAAGTTTGGAGTACCCTACAAGAATGGGATAAAATGAGACATTTTTGTCTGGGGACAACTAGATTCACTTGCATTTGTCTTTCTGGGAAGGACAGATTCATTGAGGGGCGTGGGGGACCAAAACTGCAGCTTCTGGCTAAGTCTTTCCAATGTACGTATGGAGTTTAGTGGAAGGTTATTAGTCCAGTGTTCAACAATTGTAGTTTGGAAAGTTAAAAGGGATTAAAATTGTGCTCAAGCTTAGCAAACACCTGATTAGAATACTAAAACTGGTTTCCACTGGTGTGTTAATCTTCATTTTGGATCTCCAGGGAAAAGTATATTACCAGCAGCGTCATAATGACTTAACCTCTACTCCTGGACACCAAACTCACTTTGGGAACATGAAGTTGGTCAACTTACTGGACTCCAAATTCAAATATAGGTAGCAGCTAACATGTTTTGAATTTTTACTATGGACTGTACACTATGCACATATATTGGTGGGATCTCATTCAATCATCATGACAATTCTATGATACAGACACTTATACCTATTTCGTAGATGAGACTTCTGAACCATAGGTAGATTAAGTCACTTGCTTGCATGTGTTACACACACAGCTAGAATGTGGTAGAGCCAGCGGGATAGAAACGTAGGCCATCTGACTATTTACGCTCATAATCACTACCCATTCTACCCTCCCAAAAGAGAAAACCAAGTGCCAATAAGAATGAAAAGGAAACAAGGAATTAGGCAGGCACTGAGTACATGCAAGAACTGATCAGAAGGAAAACAGGGAGTCAAGAGGGCATACGTGAATAAGCCAGACCTCTGTAGCAGCACATGTTGTGGTCCACCTGAGAAAGTGTAACACGCTAGCTCAGAGGGCAAAGACCTTCATAAAGAGGACCTACCACCAGCATCAACAGGACCAAAAGTGCTTTTAAAATCCTCTTTTAAAGTTTCTTGAAGGAGAAAGGATAATAATTTAACAATTTATTTTTGGGGGTGGCTGGCCTGTACAGGGATTAAAATCAGATTTTAAAAGGTTCCAGCCTATAAGCGTGCAACTCTTTACTGTGTGATTACACACAAGTCACTTAATGAATATGGGGTTAACACTTAGATTATGACTCATCAAACTATTGTGAAAACCAAACAAAACATATGCAAAATTGCTTTAAAAACCTTAAATTCTATTGAAATGAAGAGCTAATATTTTAGAGGGTGGGGTAAGCAAATCAGCATTCTGACAGCATAATTCTGACTATAAGTTAGAGTGATAGGTATATTTTAGCCACGAATCAAAAAAAGGCTTGGTAATGCACACAGACTGAGAAGGGGTTCTTGCAAATAAGCTTCTGATGACTGATAATGCAGTGTATTTTCCTTGATAGGTGTAAATTATTGAAAAATACAGGTGGTTTCAGAGAAGCACCAAGGTGTTGATGCAGTTATACATATTCTAGGATGATCAGGGCAGGGAAGGAGGTAGAGCCTATTTCCCGATAACCAAAATCAATCTTTAAACCCTTTGACTACATGCTTGAGAGGGGCACATGTGGGTTGTTTAGGAAAAGGGGATGCAGAAATATTTTCAGTGCATTCCACATTTCTTGGGCAGTCTCCTGTTAGTATAGGAATTCAAAACAGTGGCCTAAGTGGGCAAAGGAAAACAGTTGTCTGGTGCTGAAACAGAGCAGCTGTACTTATGTACTAATCCCTGGTGCTTCAACGAGCACACACCTCTCTATACACTGATGTAGGAGGCCCTGCCTGAGTACATCTAGTTATACTGGCAGACATCTAGCAATGCTCCTGAAAATAAGAATTCTGTGGCATACAACCTCATCACTTTGCTGCTGTACCAAGTCAGGCTGATAAAAACTTGCCTTGTGCTACACCTACTGGGATGCTGCAGACGTTTATCTGCTGTTAAATAAGTTCAAGCCCAGCTTATAAGAGTCTAGCTCAGTGGACAAATCTGGCAACAGTTACGTAATTTATGTACATGAGGGTATATTTACCAAGTTAGTTAGAAACGTAGGGGAAAGCATCCCTTTAGTGAGTTTTAAAATTCTACTTTAGCACCTTAAAATATTCTGTAATATCTGAATTCTATTATTCTTTTTCTTGCTCCTCAAGATTTCTAATCTAGGTAACTGTTCTTAGGCCCAGAGTAGGTGGGTATATCTGAGTACTTCAATGATGGAGATGGCAGGGAATTTAGTGTGGAGGTGATTAAAAAGAGTATAAGAACATGTAGCCCTATCTGTCCCCATTCCCTTGAAGAGTAGACAGGAAGAGTATAAAACAAAGAGGTGAAGAAATATTATAAAAGTTAAATCCTATTAGTAATAATATAACAACATTACAATGAAAATTCTCTGCATAAGAAAAAGATTTCTAAGTCTTCAGTCTCAACTCATTCCAACAACAGTAAAAGACAATTAAAGCAATTTCTAGTTGCTTGTTCTAAAATCTGGCTTGTTTAAAAGTTGCAGCTCTATCAGGAGCAACAATTGAAGGCAGTCTGATGACTACACTATATATCAAATCATGAAACTAAAAAAGAGTCATTAGCTCAGTTGGTTAGAGTGCAGTGTTGGTAACACCAAAGTCAAGGGTTTGGATCCCTGTATAAGCCAGCCACCAAATAAGTAAACAAATAAAATTAAAACATAAAAGAGTTAGTGGAAAGGCTTCTCCTGTGACTCTCTCTTGAGAACCAAGATCAATCTCAGATTGGGCTAGGACCAACTAACAGGTCTTCAGTTACGAACACTAATTTCAGGTTGACAATGTAACCACAGAGCCAAGGATTAATTTGTGATGTACCTTTCCAAAAAGATTGTTTAAATTCATTATATTTCAGAGTGGTATCGGCCTCATAGGCTACAACTAGAGTGCAGCCTTGGAGAGATGGGAAGGTGTAAAGAAAACCAAACCTCTTTCCCCTGTAATAAATTATGTCCCCGAGCCCAGTCTCATAAAGGGGAAAAGGTTTCCTACTGGATTTCTCTGGGCCTTCACATAGCTAAATCAACTAAATAATACATAAATTCTAGATTCCTAAATTAGTCAAATGACTTGAGCTCTGTAAAGGAAAAAAAAATTTTAAAGCACTTCATACATTTTAACTCCCAATTTCTTCCCTTAAATGTTACCTATGTAAGCTTGCCTCAGATCAACCCGTCTTAAGACCTGGGGTTAGTTTGGAGGTCCCAGGTAAAGTCAAGACAGTCGCTTCTCAGTGTGTACAGATGACTTCAAGACCCCTGAACAAACCTAGAGCAGCAAAAGAACCAGCATTCGAAGAACTAATCCAGACCCACAATGGGAACCCTAACCAAATCCTAAAAGCTCTGGCTGCAATCAGATCAATCTGGGAAAAACCTATTTTACTTTCATTTAGCTTTATTCTATTTCTATTTTGAAGTTAGTAATTATTAAAATGATTATAAGGAACCTTGGCAAGTCAAAACATGACCATGTGATTTCTTAAGAAGAGCCAGGCAGAGCATTATCTTTACAATACAAAAAGTTTCATTTCCATATAGCTAATCTTTTTTGAACACTTATCTGGAGGCTTTTATCATTTCATCCTGACAACCACCCTATGTAGGCACAGTCTTCTCACTCCCATTTTACAGGTAAGGAAAGAGGCATAGGGAAGTTAAAGGTTAAGGAACTGGTCACGCAGCTATTAAGGGATAGTTAGGATGTGAACCCTAACCCCTCCACAGTACAGCCTCTTCTGCAGTCCTCTGCTCACTCAGCCCCCTCATATAAGTAACTTCTGTATGAGAACTTCTGGTGTTTTACAAATAGTTGCCTTATTCTCACAGCACCTCTTACAAAATGGCAAATAAGTAACCTACAAGGAAGATCTTATGACTTGCCACCAAAGTAGCTATTACATCTGTGAGGTGGGAAGATAAAAACAAATAAGCTCCCCCCCCCGCCCCCCCCCCCCCCCCCCCCCCCCCCCCCCCCC